TCTACTATTGTACCTGGTTCCTTATGAGGTTAAGAGAAGCCGTGAGACATGGTAGGGAAGTATCGTTCATAACAAATACGAACGATGCCATTAGTTCTTTCATAGAACATGTATTCCCTGATTCTTATCATGGGTATACTTCTAAAAGTGTGTTCAAGTATATGCGCACAAAAGGCGTCTCTGGCAGAACATTACAACTTTTTTTCTAGATGACATCCAACTCATATGTCTCATTTTGAATAAAACTTTCGTCGGCTGACCCTGATGCTCGTGAAGTGCTTGCCAACATCGGTCATGCGAAAATGGGCAAGAGCCTATTTACCTAACATCCGTTGGAATGTATTCAACATTGATGTTCCCTAATTTTTTTTTGTGTTATCAGCAAATCAACACAATGTACCGATAATAATGCTTACCGAGGCAATTTGTGACTACATTCAACGAGCTTTTGTTGAACGCAGTTTAATGACAGGTAAAATACCGGGTGAAATATTAAATTTATTTAATTACTTGTACAAGAACCTTATTTGATCATATTTACTTTTCATCGAGTTTGACTACCGTACTCACCTCAGATGTTGAAGTGGTGCTTCATAAAAGGATGCAAAAGTCTGTTCGGTGGCAAGCAACAAAGATCCTGCCAGAGATCTCATCTATGCTCTCGTCCAACTTTATTGAGTTTTTGATTTTTTTTTAAAAAAACACTTGTGTTGTTGATCTAAACCATCATACATGTTCATGTGAGAAATAGAACAGTCTGGGTATAGCATGCGGTCATGCTATTGCGGTATCACGTCATTTGAACATCCATGAATTACCTGATATGGTTCAAATATATTACCGGCCTGATGTGTTTCAGACTGCCTACCGGACATAAACTGCGCACCCTGTTCCCCCTCCATAAGAATGAGAAATACCAAACCCTTTGATTGAAGTTGTATTGCCAATGTAACTGCAATTAATTATGTTTGTAATTGATTTGTAGTGTGTAATGAAAAATACTATTACTGCCCTAATATTTGTCACATATTATAAAGATAGAAAAAACATAATTTATAAGTACCATAGTAATACTAACAAATAAGCAAACATTACATATTAAAAAGATTAATAAGCGTTACAGAAGGGAAACTTAATTAGTTGATGAACATAAAGCTTACAACTTGTACACAACAATTCCAAAAAAGAAAATCCAATTACAAATTAACGCTATCTTTAAGTGCATATTTTGGGTTTCAAGTTTCTTCTTCGATCGAAATAAGTTACTGATTATCAACGAATTATTGGTTTTTGCTTTGTCAACCCAACAGATAAACCCAGACTATGGTCCCTAAAAATCTAAGATCAAACACATGATGTATATTGTGTAAATTAATATTAAGTCAAAGAAAAATAATAAAAGGATAACCCACATATCTCTTTAGGACAAGCGTAAAAAAGTCGTCCAAGATTATTTATAGTCATTGATGTCCTTATAATACCTTGAGAACCACAATCACAACATACCATTTCTTTGGATTATGAGAAATGAATTTTTAGTCGTAAATTTAACAAGGTGAAGAGTTTGGACGCTTGAATTCCTTTATATAATGACATTTACTATGGTTATGAATTGCTGACACTATTCCGGAAACACATTCTGGAGCCCCATTTCAAAATTGATATTTCGGACTCTAAATTCGGAACAATAATTTTCATAGATTTTTGACATGTGTGTAGTCATTCCGAACAGTAAAAGTCATAGATTCCTGACATATGTATAGTCATTCTGCATAGTAGATATCATAGATTCCTGACAATATTTCGGACCCTCATTCCGGAGCCACGTTCCGGACCGGCTATTTCGGACCATTGTTCCGGACATTGCTTTTGTACGTAATTGTCATAGATTCCTGACATATGTGTAGTCATTTCTCAACAGTAAAAATCATAGATTCCTGAAAATATGTGTAGTCATCCGAACAGTAAATGTCATAAATTCATGATAGTATTTCAGACCCTCATTCCGGAACCCCATTCCAGAGCCACTTTCAAGAATGGCTATTTTTGACACTTGTTCCGGACATTGCTTTTGGACCTTAATGCACCTAGCATGCATCCTTAACGTTGAAATAAAATTGGAATGAGTTCATCTTACGATGGTGTTTAGCATTATGAAGAATAAGATTGTTATGTTCGTTCAGATAATAACCTGTTTCCGGAAGGCCCAAATTTCCAATCCCGGATAAAATGTCTGATAATGTTTTCCAAGCTATGAAGGTGCTGAAGAAGCAAACGAAAGGGACGTTGAAAAAAGTCGCATACTAAATCAACGTGCAGACGATCTAGCGAAACAAGTAAATGTAAAAGAAAAATGGGTTGCTGAAGCTATGAAATAAGTGAAACAAGCTAAGAAGTTGACTGAAAATGCAAATGCAGAGATCAATAAGTTGCATGCAGAACGGGGTCGTCTAACAAATGTTGTTAGAATTATAGGAAATTTTATTGACCGGGAACAAAATATTTATCCCTTACAATTTCCTAATTTGTGGAAACCAATCTAAGTATGTATTAGGATTTATAACACTCTTTGCAATAATATTAATGAGAAAAGCATAATTGTCATTTTAGATAATCATATCGTTCCTTTTACAAAATTCAGTTTCAAAAGACATTATAATATCCATATTTAAAATTAGATTACATTTCTGACCGATAACTGGGAACTTGCATCCGATGCAAACTAGCTGTGTCTATATGATTTTCAAACAATTCCATGTAGGTCTCAATTAGTTTGAAACTATTATCAGCCAATTCGACTCGATCTTCTATTGTTGGGGTTGTCCTACGTGTTTCTTCGATGATGTCCATTATGTTCACAAATTGTCGTATATCTTCAAACATGGTAATGAGGAGCATTTGCATGTTATACAATGATACTTTTCTTCATTCCTCAACCGATGAAGGCTTTAATGGGATTTCCAGTATTACCATTCGTTGTTTAACATGTTGATAATCACGAATCATTTCTAATGCAGTCGTATCAACAAGACGTCGTTGCTCGTCTTCAAGGCGCGGTATAACATACTCTATAGGCAACTCATCCTCATCGTTCGAGTCACTGGATGTTGGAGACTGAAAATAGAATATACCTAAATTATATTAATATACTATTTAAAACCAATGTGCATCAAAGTATTTAATAATAATAATAATAAACACTTGCTGAAACATATTTATAACAAAAACAAACATAATTGCAAGTAGTCTATCATAACAAGTTTGTTTGCAATTACTCCGGTGCCATCTTTCGGAGTCCTGTCTGTTTTTTATTTTAATTTTTAACACCATTTCTGATTTCTTTCTTAATTTTTATGGGTGCCTTTGTTGGTTTGTTTTTTTATCTTATTTTGAAACTCAGCATCTTCGTTTTTTATTTGCAAAAACAAAATTCCAAGAAAATTTTAATATATTACCGTAAAAATAAATAATAATAATAAAATTATTGTTTTTCGATTTTACCTTTATCAGACGCAATTCCGAAAGCTCCTGTAAATGGAATACAACTTCGTCGCCTGTAAAATCCACTTTTTTTTTAACATACATGCTAACTCATCTTTGGACTAACATGGATTATTAAACAATACTTAGAAAAAAAAATATAAGTATAGTTATGATCATCATTCCGGAATAGATAATCGGGTTTCAGAGCACGTTGATCGTGTTCCGGACCTACATTACCATTCTGGAACCCCTACAATACCTAATTCCGGACTAAAACAACCGATCTGTAACACATTACAAAGTACTTGCATAAGATTCATACACATACAATGAGAAAATGATTAAAAAAAGGATAATCCGGATATTCAGGAGTTGTTTCAGAGTTGTTCCTCGTATTCCAGACCATTTCGGAGAATTCCGGAATACGTAAATCATTTCAGAAAATCAAATGCAAAGTAACTTAAAGTGTAGAACTTACTTGGTTT